TGGTCATAACTTGCAACCATTGGGTGCAAGTAATGACCACGCTGGTCATAACTGTTTTCCTGGCAGCTTTGTTTGCAGCTTTAAGTGACTGTTGCTGTGTGAATCAAATGCCGTTATTTAAGATAAAACATTTCAATTTATTTTAGACCAAATAACATTTTACATTTACATCCCACCCGCTCCTGAGGGTCAACATGCTTTGAGTCTGACTGCAGCGCTGAGAGGGACTCCTGCGGGAGAACGGGGTTGGGACGGGGGAGACGCCCAACGGCTGCACCTGGCGCTGGAGGACAAGAGTAGGAAAGATACGTGCTTTCACGTAAAGGACACCAAAAGCCGCCAGTGACACCAGAAAAGTCGCTATATTTGTCGCTAGTCGCTTTTTTGAAAAATAGTCGCTGGATGGGCACGGGCAAACCGGGCAGCCGGGCGCCATTTTTATAAAGGACAACAGGACGCACGTTTAAAAAAAAATATACCTGGCTCTTGGAGTAGGTCTCGCCCGAGGAGTAGAACCGCCAGTGACCATCTATGAACGTGGCGCGCATTCTTCCTGTCGCTTAGTTATGGCCGTAAACAATTTGTCTCTGTGTGGCGCTGGGTTAAGGGCGGTATGAAAGTACAGCTGTGGAATAATCTGATAAACTGACAGATATTTTTGTTGTTGTTTTCTCTCTCTCTGTTTTTATGTAAGACTGTGGCGGGCCCAAATGAGATCGTTCATTAATGGGAAACACTGATGTTTTAGAATAGTGTAAGATAGAAGAGGAGAGAAAGAATATGGGAAGACTGATAGAAGATTGAAACAGAGCTGAGGAAAATAGGAACACTGATGGAAAGAACAGTTGAAGTAGAGAGAATGAAGCAGAAAGACACAAAAAAGACGGAGTAATGCAGAGAGATACACAAGAGAGAGTAAAGAAGAGAGATACACACAGCAGTTTTGCAAACTCTGAAGGGTATACCTAATCCTGTTTGCAGATTAGAGATTTAATATAAACATTACAGTAATACATGGTTGTTGCAGCATCAGGATGTGGAAATTTAACCTGATATCTGGAGGGAGGCTTGCTTGTCAATAGCAAATTGACAAGAAAAAAATAAAGAAAAATGTGAAGCTTAGATTAAAGAATGTTTTGTGTGAACTAGCCTAAGTCAAAATCCAATAGCTGTGGCAATAGTTGTTAACCGATGTCCATAGAAGTTCTCTATCTAGTCTGACTAAGCTTGAGCTGGTTTTCAAAAAAGATTTAAAACCTTAAATGCAACAAATTCTGGTTCTGTGTGGCTCAGGGTAAATCAATACAAATGCATCAGAAAAGATTTTTGTTTATAAAAGATTTTTGTTTATAAAAGATTTTTGTAAAAGCCATGTACTATTTTCGTTTTTTACTTTGAGTTGGCCTGCCGAATAAAATACCAATAAAATACAACTAAATGTCACTTGGTATCAATCCTTTTGGAAGTCAAGAGGACTTAAACATTTCTGTTTGTTTTACCGAGTACACTGGAACCTTCAGATCCATTGTGGGAGGACTGGTACTCTGGGACGTCGAGTGAGCTGAGGGCATCCTCATCGATGGATGTGGGGATATCCTGAAGTGTTTCCATGCTGCCCATAAAATCATCCTCACCGCACAGGGGACCATCAAGCATCGAGTCCTCGAGGGGTGACGGGGGGTGGTAGTGATTCTCCATATCCACCATTGTGATGGCGAAGTGTGCGTTTGGGAGCGTCACACATGAGACTAAAGCCAGAAATCAGAAAAGAACAGAAAAAAAATATATTTTAACAGAGAACAAAAAAGAAAAATAGAACGCATGTATTGAAATGTTTTTTTTCTGCCATCTCATTGTTGAGTTAAGCATGTAACAGATTTCATGTAGATCGAGTTCAAACAATGGAAAGCAATATTCTTTTTGAACTGTTTAAAATCAGGTTTACTGAATTCCAGTGCAGCACAGTGAAAGGATACCACATGTGTGACAAGACCAGTCGTTAACTCTAAATCTTAAAGGAATAGTACACCCAAAACATGATTAGCCTTCATTTTCTACTCACCCCCATGCTGAACAACACTCTGGAGTACTTTTTTGATATCT